TCTTATACTCACTATGTATTTCATTTTTAGCACTTGTCTAATAGAGCAATTATTTAAAAATATTTTTAGCTGAATCTTGCCATTAAATATCAATGCATGATGGTTTAGATGGATTTATATGTCTGCATTCATCTTGCAATATAAGCATTTTTATGAATACACTACCCTTACTTTCATGACTTTGTTTTCTTGAAAATTTCCATCTTTCATGGCCCATATTACGTTGATCTCAGCTAAGAACTAACAATATAAATAATTGCCACTGCTTTCACTAGAGACAGCAGTATCTTTCACACCAAACATTGGTGCATCTATGTTATATACAGTAGATAGATGCCTCAAAAGAAACAATCTACAATACAGAAATAAAAAGGAAAATCTACCAACATCTACTTTTGTCCAAGTCTATTAAACCAGCACAGGACCCTTTCTGGATTCTGGTGATAATAATGTGCTCTTTGGGCTGTGGCGAATAGTTGGATGAAGTTAACAGAATGAAGAATAGGTACTATGTATCTTTTTAACTTATTTTAAAGTCAGTCACAGAAAAACTAGGAGGAAATTTCAGCAATGTGAAAACTTCTCTAAAGAGATAATAATGATCATTTCTATAAGGTTCTAAATCTAGAAATGTGTTCTGAAGAGTCTTAAAACCATAGAGATGAAAGTGACCTTAAAAATGTATTATTTATATTCTGATTTCTTTATTTTGTACAGATGAGGAAAACCAAGGCCAAAAAAACTAAAATGACTTATATAACACAACTGGTATTTATCACCTAGATTGAAATTTTCCTACTATTCCATGCCATAAACATAAATAATAAACATCAAATGCATATCAATACATCTAAATCTGCTACCTTTTTCCTGCCATAAAATACTTAGTAAAATCCTGTAATATATTGTGTTGTTTCGTGTATGTTTGTGTGTGTGTGTGTGTGTTTAACAGATGTAGCCAGAAAAATACTACAATATTCCAGTGATATAAAGTAATGGCCCCCAACCTTTTTGGCACCAGGGACCAGTTTCATTGAAGACAAATTTTCCATGGATGGAGAGAGGGCCATCTCTGCCCCCAGTCCCTAACAGGCCACCCAGTACTGGTCCATAGCCCAGAGTTGGAGACCACAGGTGTAAAAGTCTTGGTTTACTTCTTTCTCTGCTACACACTTGCTTGGTCACCCTAGGACAAATTAGGAGAATTACTTAACGTCTCTCTGTCCCAATTACTTCATACATCATCTATATAGTGAAAATATTCAACTAGATTTATATAATTTTCCACCACTATAATTATGTAGGTTTTTACAAATAGCCATTTGATTTTTTTTTCTCTTTCATATATCTTCTTAAGGAAAAAAGTTATATCCCAGCTACCCAAACAGCCCACCCAAAAGAAAAAAAAATACTAAAAAATTACCTGAAACATTCTTTACCCTTGGTTAATATTCCACAACTCAGTACACAAAAGATGAACAACAACTTATCAACAAATATACTCAAAAGAAAGTAAAAAAGCATCATCTGAAAATAGGTGATTTATTTCTAGATTACTTTGTGAAAAAAGAATTTTTTTGTTTTTACTGTTCATTTACTTAAAAGGTCTGAAACTGATGTACAACATAATGTGAAAAATGATCCAATCCATTCAGATCTCCAGAGAGTGCAATGTTAATCCCAAGTTATGACTGAAACTAGAAACTGAGAAACTATAACTGAGTCTAGAAACTCATCTTTAAAAGAATTGCTATCCAGAAATATACTATAGCCCAAGCTACAAAGGATAATTTTAATAATACTAATAATCTTTATTATTGTTTATGGGTTAAATAGGCTGTTGATCATTAAATCCCCTTCTCTTATTTGGTGTTGACAGGAAAAAGATAAGGTGAACAGAAATTTAAATTTCTAAAATAAAAACCAGTTCTTAAATATGGCTGGTTGGAGAAAATTGTAACAGTAAAATAAATTGAGTATTTCAGACTATTAGATTTTATTTATCTACCCTTTGAGTGATCCCTATTACCATTCATTATTATTACCAAATATATATATGTTTGTTGTTGATATTTGTTCAAGAACCAGAGTTTCAAATTTAAATAAACAGAGAGAGAGAGAGAGAGAGAAGTCAAAAACCATGAATATTTTATAAGTTCATTAGGAGTGCTAATTTGTAAACAGTTATAATTATAGAATTGATTATTTTGTCACTCCTTTGAATGTCAAAAAAAGGAAAACAAATAAGGTGATTTAAGACCCTCTCTATTATAGATTTTAATAATACTGCAGAAAAGATGTGATAATAGAAAATTTGGCCACCTTTCATGGCACAACTGTGGTTTTCTCCTAAATTATTTCTTCCAAACATTTAAGAAAATAGCACCTTTCAATTATTTATCATTCTCTTTCAGTTGAATATTTTCTCTTATTTTCAACCATTTTCTAAAAATAGCTCTAAAAGAAAAAATTGTTTTTACTTCTAAAATTAACCGAAATTCTTCCTGATGTTGAATGGGGAAACAAATTATCTTTAGAGCTTCCTGGAACTTATTTCAGGTTCATTACCCAGAGCTAACCATCAAAATAACTGGTCCAGAACATCCTGTTAGCATCAGAAACCATCAGGCAAACTGTCCAGCTCTTTCTTTTTTCTTGACAAATATAGAGCAGTGGTCTCTATCTGGGAAACTTATTTCCTCTCTTAATCTGAAGTGCCACAAATTCTTTCAAGTCACTATGGTTCTTTTGAAAGATACTTTTTGTTTCCAGAATTAACTTGGCAGCCAAATAATTAGACAAAGCAATATGCACAACAAACAAAAAACCTGTTAGCATTTTGAAAATTGTCTTCATTTTTCAAATGGTATTCTCTAATAAAGGTGTGAGGAATGTATTAATATTTTTTATGCCTTTATAATTCCTTTCTAACCATTGTACTGTCTTCATTTCTTTATTTTCTACTACTTTTTCAGTCAAAGTCAATTTTTTTAAAAGCATGAACATTTTAGCATGTCTTCAATTATTAATGTGTTGTTACTCAGAAAATAGTAAAAAAAAATAGTTCCTCATGTTTTTCCTGCTGACATTCTGATCATTAAAACTAAGAGTTGAGAAAGAAATATGATAGAGGTTTCTTTAAAAGGCTAACATGTTAGCCTTTACACTACCAATTATCATTTCAATTCTCTAATTGACAGAAGTAAACACGAAGTTTCAACAGTAGCCAATACTATTGACCAAAAATATATTTCAATAAAGGTTACCTATGTATCAAATAGATACAACAGTAAATGAAAATGAAAGCTTTTTCACACACTTATGTTTATTTTTCTTACAAATTTAATGTTTGTACTTTTATTAATAAAAGTTAATAAAAATGTCCTGTCAACTTTCCTACATGTATCTTCCTTTTCTCCTGCTAAATATTAATTTTTTTGTGTGTGTGTGAGACAGAGTCTTGCTTTGTTGCCCAGGCTAGAGTGAGTACTGTGGCATCAACCTAGCTCACAGTAACCTCAAACTCCTGGGCTCAAGTGATCCTACTGCCTCAGCCTCCCCAGTAGCTGGGACTACAGGCATGCGCCACCATGCCTGGCTAATTTTTTCTATACGTATTAGTTGGCCAATTAATTTCTTTCTATTTATAGTAGAGATAGGGTCTTTCTCTTGCTCAGGCTGGTTTCAAACTCCTGATCTCGAGCAATCCGCCCGCCTCGGTCTCCCAGAGTGCTAGGATTATAGGCGCGAGCCACCACGCCGGGCCAATATTAAATTTTTAATGAGGCAAATGCTCTGTTTTAATTTTGTATTCATTTTCTTCAGTCTAAATACATTATCACAATAAAACATAAAACAGATTAGTATCTTAATGTATTTAGGCTGCTATAACAAAGAACCTTGGACTAGGAAATATGTAAATAACAGAAATTTATAGCTCACGGTTCTGGAGGCTGGGAGATCCAAGATGAAGACACCAGCATATTCGATGTCTGATGAGGGCTTGTTTTCTGTTACTTAGACGGTGCCTTCTTGGCAGAGAGAGCAGATAAGCTCCCGTGGGCTTCTTTGATAAGGGCGCTAATCCCATTAAAGAGGGCAGAGCCCTCAGGATCTGGCCATCTTCCAAAGGCCCCACCTCTTAATACCACCACAATGAGGATTAGATGTTAACGTATTCATTTTGGGGGCAGGTAGGAGGGAACAAACATTTGGACCATACCAATTAGCAACAAATGGTTTCATGAAAGATCAGTAGATCAAGGAGCTAAACACTTAATTAAGATTAATGGCATCAAGCACAAAATTTTGTTCATTTAAGATCTTTCAGTCAAAATTTTCATTAATAAGAATAACCATGTCAGTATAATAAAAATAATTTGTATGTATTATTTTGTACCAATGAAAATTTTTAATTTACTCAAGTGAACACAGAGAATGGAGAAAAGTGCTTTAATATTAATATTTGGTACCTTGTAGAGAGTAAAATATTTACAGCCTAGGTCAGTATGTTACAATTCCAGAACAAACTCTTTGATTTGTGTTTAGTGTCTAAAGGTTTTCCTTGCAGCAACACATTTGTCATGAGTACACCTGAAATGTCAGTGCAAGTTGTAACAACACTCATGGTGGCAGTTATTTCAGAGAAGTCCAAAATCATAATTCTGATAGAAAGTGATATTTTTAAGGAATGTTTCATTTACATTGAAGTCAGAAAAATGTTGCAAAGTTTTTAACTGTAAATATTTATGTTCATTTTCATATTATATTTCAAGCAACACAATGACCTTACACACTCTGTCCCTTCAAAAAGTAGAATACAGGATTAACACCTACCAAACAGCACTTGTGAAGAAAAACAATGCCCAATTAGCAGCAAAAATATAAAAATGATTCCCATCTTTAACAGCTTTTTTCAAATATTAATATAATTTCATTTTCATTTGAAATGAACCAAACAGGCAAAACAAAATAAATAGTGGACTGCTAATGGAACTTACCTTCTTGAACTGCTTGAAAAGGGTTGTTGCCATCAACGAATGTCACTGAAAATGTGATTTTCTCAGTCTGTAAGATCTCCTCATTCTGGTTAAGGTCGCCAACTGCTGTGCGAAACACCTCATCATCTTTTTTGGCAGACTCATCAAAAATTGCTCCTAGAAAGAAGTGAGTTTTGCCATTAAACAATAACATAAATATTCTGTCATGCCCTCTGTAAATCTGCCAAGACTTATGGTTTTAAAAAACATATACTTTCACTTAAAGCATGCACTTTATTTATTACTGAGCTCAACACGTTGTACTGGTAGCAGTGTGATAGCTGAGAAGGACTATAGTTACTTCTTCCAAATGGAAATGATGAATAGTACATCAAAGTGTTATTGAGGGAGAGAATGGAGAAGACAATGTAAATGGTACAAAAAGCTTCTGCATGACAAAGTGGCTAATATATTGGATATCTTACACCATGGGATCTTTAGGAATTCATAGCTTAAAGAACTTGTTCGGAATAATAGGAGATAAAATCAAGAAACTTTCTGAGCTGAGAACTATTTATAGAATATATAAGAATCAAACTTCCCTTATGATCTTAATTTTTTCCTCTTTATTTCTTTCCTCCCCCCTTTTTTTTGAACAAGAGTTTCATTATCTTTTTATAGCAGTAAACTCAATAATAGTTATAGAAAATTTAGAGACATAAAAATCTCTCAGCAGAGGGAAGGAAGAAATATTTCCTGAAGAACTAACATAAGTCCTAGTGGATAATTATAGAATTTTTCATCCATATGTAATAATGACAATGATAAGCACCGTGGCTAAGTTTTATTGAGTGTTTGGTTGTCAGCAGAATGCTGGTTAAACACATCAGTCTAAGAGCAAACTATTTGATTTTAAATCTTGACTCTGTCACTAGTTAAGTATTTGACCTTGGGCAAGGCACTCAAATTCTAAACCTCACATACATCATGTGTAAAATCTATTTATCACAATACTATCTATCGCTAAGGATTATTGTGTTTATTAAATAATATATATGCAAATTATAAACTGTTATAACTAAATAGTAAGTTTTCAATGAATGCTAGCATTTTCTTCTTTTTTTTAATACAACATAGATGAACATGAAGGACATTATGCTAAATGGAATAAACTAGAGATAGAAAGACAGGGAGAAAAAATGCTGCATCATCTCATTTATATCTGGTATCAAAAAAGTAAAACTCAGAGAAGCAGAGAATACAATAGTGATTACTAGGGATAGGGAGAGAATGGGGTAGAAGTAGGTCGAAGGGTATAAACTTGCACTTATGTAAGATTAGTAAGTCTACAGATCTAATGTCTAACTATTGTCTAGCAGGCTGAAAAAATGTTGAGAGTGGATTTTACATTCTCTGACACGTACATACACAAAAGTAACTATGAAAAGTTAAGGATAGACAGATTTTCTTCACTATCGTGATCATTTCACTATGTACATATATATATATAAAAGCATCAGAATTTATGCTGTAAATATATACAAAAAATAAGTAATTAAATACTATAATTCAAACAGTGCTTAACATTTTCCATTTTTTTTTCCTATTCTCTAAATCACTCATTAACATTTTTTTCGACATATTATGGGGGTACAGGTTTTAAGGTTTCAATAAATGCCCTTCCCCCCTCCCCCCACAAGTCTGAGTCTCCAGCATGACCATCCCTCAGATGGTGCGCATATCACTCGCTATGTATGTATATACCCGCCCCCCCTCCCCAGTACCCTATTACTGTAGTACATATGTGTCCACTTAGGTGCTACTCAGTTAATACCAGTTTGCTGGAGAATATATCTGGTGCTTGTTTTTCCATTCTTGGGATACGTCACTTAGTAATATGGGTTCCAGCTCTACAGGAAAATATAAGATGTGCTATATCACCATTGTTTCTTAGAGCTGAATAGTACTCCATGGTATACATATACCACATTTTATTAATCCATTCTTGAATTGATGGGCACTTGGGCATTTTTTTTCATAATACAGTATCTCATTTAATCCTTAAAATAATTATGTGACATGTATACTCCTATATACACATAGAGTTATGAAAATTAAGATTTAGTACAAGAAATATGCCTAAGGTCTCACAACTAGGGCCAGAGACCTGGGCTCCTTGACTCCAATGTCCTCACTCTAAATCACTACAGGAGACTGCCTTCCAGGATTGTGCCTATAAAGAATAGAAGTTTCTTATGGCGATTCTGACATTATTGCAAATCTGAGCAACTCTATCCCATCTGGCCATGCATAGTTCATCTGTATTATTCTTATTCTTACAGTTCTAAGCAGGTACACATTTTTAAATTGTTTACCTTTTAATTATAAACATTTGGGCCAAACGACTTTTGTTTTTTATGATGAAAAGAAAGAAATCCCTTGTAACAAAAGAAAAGACATACAGTCCAAAGTAAATATAATGATAAAAAATGACTATATATACCTATCCACATACAGATCCATATACATAATATGTTTCTTGACTATTCATTTTACTGTGTGATTATAAAAATAAAATTCTGCACATATGAAAAAATCTTTTTACATATATAAATACAATATGGATACTATACAAATATACATAAAGAAATAAAACAGACTATGCATATACATATATAAATATATAGTTGATACATGCACACACCTATATATAGAAACAGACACATTATATGTTCTAGTTTTGTTGATTTTATACATGTGTGACTAAAGTCTCAAACCTTCTAGTGAAAGATCAAGATGTTAAACATACATTATTAGAGTCAATGCATGATAGAGGTTGAAACTGTGTCAGTTTCTGACAAATGTAGTAGGTTACTCTTACCCTTTCCACCCTGAAATGGACTCACCATGGGAAGATGATCGTCAGCTTTTGCTAGAGAAGGCAGAATGTCTAAGAGGTTCATTATGGGAACCTGGCTTTGTCTTATCAGTGTTCTTTTCTGTTGGCATAAATTGTACTAATACTTTAACCAGCTTCCCCTCCCCTCGAACCCTTGCCTTCCATTTTCTTTGTAATTTGAATACCTGCCCATGGCTGAGAGTATGAGAGAAAATGGTAAAGAATTGTTTTCTTTTTTTGAGAGAGGGCCTCACTATGTCTCCCAGGCTGAAGTATAAGTGGTGTGATCACAGCTCACTACAACCTGGAACTCCTGGGCTCAAGTGATCCTCAGGCCTCAGCCTCCCAAGTAGCTGGGATTACAGGTGCACTTCACTATATCCAGCTAATTTCTCTTTTTTTAAAAAAAAAAAAATATTTGTAGTGGCAAGCTCTCACTATATTGCCTAGTTTGGTCTCAAACTCCTGGCCTCAAGCAATCCTCCCACCTCAGCCTCCCAAATTGTTGGGATTATAGGACTGAGCCACTGTGCCCAGCCAAATACTTTTAATTGAGATAAAAATTAAATGCTTCCTAATTATGTGACTAGATATTTATTAGCCAGAATAGTATTGTTTTATTAATATGATAAAATATATATTACAGACTTTAATTTTGGACCTTATCCTGTAATTTTTAAACCAGACAGAATTCTACTTTAGAAACTAAGCTTTTGTAAAAAAAAGTTTAGACAATAAATTTTAGACTTACATTACTAATTTAAGCCTCTTTCATGAAGAATCATTTTAAAATGTGGTATTTCTTATACCAATGTAGATTAATCACTACATGGGAGTTTATTATGATCAGATTTAGATATATAAATTCCTTAGCAGTTTTTTAGGATGTGCAATATAAATTGCCTTCAATTGAAGCTGAAATAACCAGTTCATTTAAAATTAGATAATATAAATGTCTATTCACAAAGAAATGATGTGTGTTTATATAAAGATGTTTCAGCTTGTCGTGGATTCTAAATGGGTCTTTTAAAAGAAGAGTTTCTAATCGGCCTCGTTTTATAGCAGGTGATGTTATTGACTTCTGCTGAGTATTGGTAATATATTTTTGATGAAAACATTTTACTATTACCTGACAGAACACTTAATAGTGTCTTAAACATTAAACCAAGCTTAACAAATGGCAGAAACCTGCAGAAATGATAGCAAATTAGTCAATTCTGTGCTGAATTAAGATATACTGAAAGGAGATAGACAAAAGAAGCTGTTCATCTTTCTGCAAACAGCAAGGAAGTTCACAGAAGAAACAGTTCATCTTATAGCAAACAGTGTAACCAAAGAACAGGAAATCTCAGCCAACATTTCAAATCCAAGGTGTTTATTTACCTTTTTCTCAGCTATAAAATATCATCTTATATTTGGCTTTGTCCTAAAGGGGTGCACAAAGCATTTTGTGTTAAATGCAAGCATTTTGCTGTCTGGTGAGTCCCATAAGAAGAATCTCAAGAAAGAAGTTCCCTTCTTATTTCACATACTTACAATAGTCATAGCAATGTCAACTCTTTACCCTTTGTATTAATACATAGATATTACTGACATAATCCAATATCAAATGTCCTACATTTACTTTTTTAACTATATAGTTTCTCAAACTCAACATTCATAACCATGTAGTTAACATCACGACATGGCATCTCGTTCCTTCCTAGGCCTTTTAATTAGCATGTTTTTGTGGCAAATAAAATTATAAAACACTGAGGTGAAAACCAGATTAGACTAGTCAGATGAAATAATTCTTCCACCACTTACACACATATAGACATACATGCACGCACACACACACACACACACACACACAGTGTTTGATCAAGAGAATATACTTTATGTACTCTTCCCATTGACCAAGGTAAAAGGAAGAATAACTAAGCTATACAGCTGAAAAGAAACACCTCCTAAATATTCCTATCTTACCAATTTATAATTAGTCATTAGCATCACTAGTAGTTGATATTCTCTTTCCGCGGGAAGGAAAACAGGCTTTATTTAATTCTTATACAATGATAGTGACAGATGGACATATACATATATGTTCTTAAAAGCAAATTATATCATTTGCATGTTTTCTTATATCTTAGAAAGGATGTTAACTCTAATGAGTTGTATCATATATAATACTGTTGAATATAAATTCCATGTGACTAATAGACAAATTAGCAAATATATAAACAAATACTAAATTTAGACAAAGGTCTACAAAAATGTACCTGTGAAAATAATCATA